ATTTAAAAAACCCCCCCCCCCCCCTAAGTGCACTTTAAGATTCCACAAAAAAAGTTTTTTTCTATACTTGAAGTGCTTACCATCTGTTTGTGTTAAACAACAGGTTTAATGTGGTTTTATTGTTTATATAAAATATGTATGCTAAAATGTATTATTTTATACTAGATGCACCTATAGCTCGGTTTCACAGAGTGTTCTGTTTTTGTTTAAAAAAAAAAAAGTCCAGTACTACCAGCTCAATTTTACAAGTTAAAAAAAAAACAGAGAGTGTTAATCCAGGGAATATACCTGAATGTCTCATGAAATCATTATTTCTCATCCATGATAATTCCCATCCATATTTTAAGCACATGTATTTGTGCTAAACATAATAAATAAAACACTGTCCTCCTACGCTGCGCATCATATTTAGTTTTCTCCTTACTGGTTTCAAGCCCCATCTATTTTTACTCCTTTTGTAATTCATGGAGACCTTCTTTTCAGCTTAATGCGAACAAACTTAATATTGTATAGTATTTAAAAAAAACATATGTTTCAATAAATGTTGCTGAAGCTTTTTACTGGACTTGTATAAAACAGTTAAGTAAACATAGTGAAAACAAGAAAAGTTCAAAGTGGGCATATTGTCAGTGGGAAATGTTATTGTAGTGTATAGCAAAAGTAGGGCGGGCAGGCACCACATCCAGGGGCGTATCTGCCGCGAGGCAAACAAGGTGTTTGCCTTGGGCGGCAGATTCCAAGGGAGCGGCAAAAATGCCCGGGTCTCAATGTACCCGCAGCCAGCTCAGAAGTCAGGTATGTGGTCACAGACCACATACCTGACTTGCGGGAGCAGCTACACGGTCTGCATCTCTGTCGGATGCAGACAGTGTGGCTGAGTCTGCGCCGGCCCTCGGATCCTTTCGGCCAGCGCTCTTTCAGTGAACGCTGGCCGAAAGAATTGTGCAGGATTGATTGGTAAGGTCTGCAGCAGACCTCACCAATCAACCACCGAATCACCAGGGACTGATGTGCCGCCTCACAGCCTCCTCCCTGCAACAAGGTAAGCAGGAGAGGGGGCTCTGTATTGTATTTTAGGTGCGGGGGAAGGACTGGGAATTTTTTTAAATGTGTGTGGGGGACACAGACTGGGGTTGTTTATATATATATATATAATCTATTACAACCCCAGGCCGTGTCCC